ACTAGGCTGTGAATATTTGACGACGAGAAATTAAACTGATAATTCTTATTAATGACCAGAAGCTAAGCCACGCCACGCAGTTTGAGAACCAGATTTGTCAAACGGACAACCGAGGTGACAGGAAAAGATGAGATACTGAGAGAGGAGGAGGAGGAAGACGGAGGAATTGCCTACGCCCATTGGGAAGTGTTGGTACAAATAAGAGAAGAAAGAAGTTATCGGGGCGGATTGATACCTGTGACCGCTGCACATAGGAAAAGGGACTCCCAAAATTTCAACAAAGAGGCTCTTGTTGGAAGATAGGGAAACACCAGATCCCCTAACCACGTCGACCCCCATACCAATTCTGGGTAAAAGTCAATATAAGCAGAACACTGCAGCGGCCAAGCCAGTAGTTCCAGAGACGCCACTTCCAGCGTGCAGACGATGGGCAGCAGTCACTACTCTTCCGAATCCCACATGACTTGCTGCCAGAGAAAACCTCTGACTTAAGTCTTGTTCCAGACATGGCAAAATTGAGCAAAGTGTCACGATAGAATTCAAAGTGGGAAGGGTTAATATTTCTGTACAAAGAACAATATAAACCACATAGAAATAGACGCTGAAGAAATTCCTGTCTTTTCTTTATTTCATCTGATAGAAGATTTTTTCTTTTTATTTTTCGTCAATTTTGAAAAAAATTGTGTCCTTTTTGTTATCCGTTCTTATTCTTATTCTTTTTTTTTTTTTAACCTGGTAACAACTTGTCGATCACTGATTTAATTTTTCTTACGAGCATCAATTCTGCTGGTGACATCCCTGTCGGTGTATTGGGATTGTTATTCGGTATATTCTCAATAATTTTTGTAGTGCTTCTTCAACCTGTATTTGCAAATACGCTTCAGAAAGATACAGCTTCAAAAAAATTTTCCCACCATTTAAATTTGCAAATATTTCCTCTGAGCTTGTTAATGGGTAGTTATGGGATTCTTAACATTTGTTTAACCCTGTCAAAAAATCAACACAAACACGTTTTTTTTTTCTTTATATACACTGCATGTGCTGCCCATTTTGAATGGTCAATCTTTTCAATTACCCCTATTTTTCAAGTTTGTCTAATTCTTTGTTGTCAATGCTGTGAACGGTACACTACGTATTGGTTTAAACACTGGCGTTGAGCCTTTTTTCACTTGAAATTTCACTTTGACTTTGGAACACCGACCCAACTCATTTGATAGAACATCCGGAAAACATTTTTTTTAATTTTCACACTTTTTTTAAACTAGTTGCTTGTCCACTAACATTTTTGCAAAAAATATTTACAGGTAAACCCCACAACTCAAATAATTCCATCCAGTCAGTACCGAATAAGTTCGTAGTATTTTTAACATATAAGCCTTAGCTTTTACACACTTGTTATGAAATATTACAAGTCATTTCACCAATAAAAATAATTTCTTACCCAACACGCCACGTACGATTTTCGAAGTTCTTTTTTAATGTAGGTTTTCCGTTTGCTTTCCATGTGGCTTTGTTTATTATTGTGATATCACTACCGGTGTTTCGTTGCATTTTTACATCCACAGTATTAATTTTCAGATACACACATTTTCTTTGGTTTTCTGCAATTATTTTTCCGTTGCAACATTATACGAAATGTTTTTTTTTCTTTGAGAACTTTTCCTTGCTTTAGCTTTACAGCATGACTTTTTATGTTATACTTTTCCATACTTGTAGCACTTTGAATTCTTAAAGGGACAGTTGACTCTAGGATGTAACCTTCCACATCTGAAATATGGATTTATTTTTCCACATTTTCTTTAGCATGTTTGTATGCGTATTCTTTTTTCCAATTTCTTCCGTATTGCGTCTCAGATTTATGATTCTCTGACAGTCGCCCGATATTTCTTGTAATATTAGTTTTTGATTCTCTTCAAGTTTCATTAGGATTCTAATACATATTTCTGCCTCTTTTTTTTTTATTTGCTATTAACTCTTGAACAAAAATTAACCCTTTAAACATATCCAGAGTTCATTTAATTTGAATCTTTCACACTCATTGTTAATGATTCCAACATACGTGACAAAATCTTTGTCTTTTTCTTTGTCAGATTCATACACTTCCAAGGAATATTGAATAACAAACTTTTCTCACTAAAAAATGTAATCAGACTATTTACTGTTTCTTCAAAGCAAATTTCTCCTGATTTTTTCAGTAGTACAAAATTACAGTATTTTTCATGTTCTGCTGGTGCTAACTTTCTCAACAAAAATTTTGTTTTTTTTTCTCGTCTTCCCAGTGGCTGCATACTTCTCTGAAAATTTGCTCATGTATTCTAAAATAAGCAAAAAAGGCAATTTCCTCATCTGAATTGTATATGAATTCAGATATGGCATTTGCTACTGCCTTGGGAGTGAAATAACTAGGAGAATTATCCATTTTCTTCCCTATTATTTCAATTAAATTTTGTTGTTTCTGGAGTTCCAACAACTGCTGTTATTGCTGTTGTTGTATTTTTACCACTGTGGCTAATAATTCTTTCATATTTAAAGAATATCTGTTTTTGTTCCTTCTTTCTCTTTTTTTTAACAGATACCCAAAGAAAAAGAATTAAACCAACGTTGTTCTAATTTCTCGTCACTGTTATCATGCGTGCCAAAACAAAAAGTACTTTTTCCTACTCCATATGAGTTTCAATCCCTCATCGCCACTGTTATAATTCACTCATAGCGGTTATAAAATTATGTCTTGACTGACTCCAATGGACTTCTGTCTCACTTTGAGTTCTTTATTTAAGGTGTCTTATCTTGTTCATTTGTGTTACTGGGGATGTCTTATTTACTCTACAACAATAACTTTATCCAGAGGGATATATGTTCATATAAAATACTGATACATTAAAATTATATATATATATATATATATATATATATATATAGAGAGAGAGAGAGAGAGAGAGAGAGAGAGAGAGAGAGAAAGAGAGATAATATCAAATCCGTAATTAGAAAGGATAATACAAGTGGTTCTTTTCATATAAAATTATTAAAAACATAGATCCATAGAGACCTCAATGTATAGAATACAGAGCAATATAATATACACCACGGAAAACCTTAACACATCCTGAAAACACAAATAAGTTTCATTAGACTAAAAATATATTTTGATGAGACTTACTTGTCAAAATAAATCATGATTTTAACTGTGTTTTCAAGACGTATTAAGCTTTTCCTTGATGTATATATATGTGTGTGTGTATGTGTTTGTGTGTGCGTGTGTGTGTGTATATGCGTGTCTGTGAGGATGTTCCGTTATTGTATAATGGCTATAAGCTTAAAAAGAGAAATTAGTGAGCTAAGTTTGAATTAGAGTCAATTATATTCACTTCCATGCAAATACCCCTAGGAAAGGTATCAATCTACCCCCAGTCACGAGTTAAATAACAAGGTACATTTAATATGTTGAAATTTTATGAGAGTCCACTACTATATATAAACTTAAGGATTTGGTTTGAATTTGATTTGTTTCTACAACTTATCAACCCTTTGTAGGTTATTTTAAACCAAACCATATTTCAAATTGTAGGAGGTTGTTTACAGTACATGGTGTTCCCAAGCAGTCCCCCATCCAAGTACTGACTGGGTTCCAAGCCACTTACTTTTGATAATGGAATGAGAACCAGTATTTTCAGCATGATAAGCTTAAGGAAGTGAACAAATATGTAAACTACATTTGAACACTGAAATCAATTAGAAAGTCATGCTTAATTATTATTGTTTATATTTTTGTTACAAATGTCCACAATAAAAAGAGATGCCTTCTTATAGACCAGATAATTAGTAAACTTATCTTGCAGATCATTCATAGCAAATTTGATCCTCACTAGGTGGCTGAAACATGTGACTTTGTGGTAGAATCAGTTTAAGTTGATTAGATAATATTGTCAGCATATATCAGATAATATTGTCAATGAAATTTTGTTTTCAAACTCTCCACCAATTGGATATATTGTTCCTCTTGTGAAGATCTTTTTGATTTTGCTTTTGTTTCTAAGAACCTCATCCCCTACCTACACATTCACACCCCCAACATGTTCAACCCCACCAGCACAACATGCCAAAAGGAAATACAAGAGAAAAGTAATGTAGATTATATAGATTCTTTACTTTACACAAAATGTGGTTGCTTTTATTATAGGGTTTGATTTTGCAGATTTCTGTGATAATAACAGAATAAAACATCTGTCACACAAAAGAAAATCTTAAATCAGCAAAATTTGTTCATGGGAAATTTCTGAATGTTTTAACAATAACATAGAATGGTTTAGAAAATAAGATTCCAATATTTTTCAGAAAAATCATTAAAATTTATGTAAGTCACATAAAAAAGTTTACACTGAACGTATTCAAGATATCTTAAAATATTTTTATTTCAAGTTATTTTAAAAATAACAATAAATTTTACTGATACTTTACTAAATGTTTCAGGCTCTAGAGATAGTTTGCATTGATTTCCATTCATTTATCAAGCAACAGATTCCATTTACTTTGTAACATTTGTTTCAGGATAAATATGCAATAATTTCTTAGATAAGAAAAAGAAAAAGATTTTTTATCTTATTTTGATATAAAAATATCAAAAGAAACAGAAGCATTTTAAAATCTTCACTGACTCAATGACAAAACAGAAGCATTTTTTATGAACAGAGAACATTTACATCAAAATCTTTTGCCAATTTATGAGGAACTAGTATTTTAAATATTCCCCAAATTCTATTCCTATCAACCTTTTACAGGTTATTTAAAGCCAGAAAATATTTTTAGACTTTTTAGAATTTTTGAAGATGATAATGGTTTACTGATACAAGTCCTAATTATTAACTCATAGCTGGTGAGAAAAGAGGTGGATTCATGCCTTTCCCAATGATATTTGCATGTAAGTGAATATAACGAACCTAACTGGAATGGGAACTTGGATCTACAATTCCAAGGCATTATCCATTACAGCAACCACACATCCAAGCACTTGGTATTCCTAAGGAGTCACCCATCTTAGTACTGACCAGGCTCAATGTTGCTTAACTTCAGTGATTGTTCAAAAACTGGTGTTTCAATATTATATGGCCATAAGTACAAGAAATAAAAATGAAGAGTATTGAAGACAGGTTTCCAATAATTATTCTCAATTAGATGGAAATCAGTTCCAACTTGAATCATTCCAATATGAAACAGCCAATGATTACTTTGTGTCTGAGAAACTTGAGATAAAATTTTTACAATTAGGTATAAATGATTTTTAGAAATTGAAGCAGGTTTACTTTGAGTTGAAACCTTTTATTTGCAACATAAATTTTGTCAGGCATATAAGTTCAGCTATTTTAAGCCTTATGATCACTCTTTCAACACTCAAAATTCAGTTATTTCCTGTGATTTCCATTAATAGAAATTTATTTCTAGCCTTTTCCATTTTACCTTCATGAACTGCTGGTATTAAATTGTCACCTGGACTTAATGATCATAATGAAATAATGATAATGACCATCTCTTCTCTAGCCATTATTACTGCAATCTTTTGAATTAGCCATGTTTCTATCCTTGCATACTAAATACAAGGGGGTTCATATATAAGTTTGTGCAGAGACTTCTATAAGAGGAGTCCTTGGGTTCATTCTTGTTTCTTGAAAGCTTGTATTACAAATAACTGTATTAAGATTAAAATTGTTTTACAGTGTTAGAATTCATCTGTATCATGCCATTTTCTATCCTCTAATTTCATCTGAATGAAACCAAATGTTTGAAAATGGATAAATTGAAAGAACTGGTATCAATCAACTGAAAATATCTTTTTTAATGTTTTAAACACATCTTCCTCATGAACTTTTTAAAAAAAGACATGTCTCATTTTTTAGTCTATCAATAAATCTTCTACTATGAAAACAAGAGAGAAAAGACAGCCTGCTAAAAAGAGAGTGGAAAGAGAGAAACAGTGAAACAAGAGAGAAAAAACTGTAAAAAGAGAGAATAGAAATAATACAAGGGGAGAGAGAGGGGGCATAGAAAATATAGAAATACAAAAACAGGTGATAAAAACAAAATAGAAATGGTCTTCCATTTTATAACATTTTTTAAAACAATTCGTTAAATGAACTTCATATATCCTGATGAAAAAAATGAATATATTTGGTCAATTAGAGCCTGAACATCTGATATCAAATAGATGTGATACTGATGAATTCTAAGATTTGAACATCTGTGATATCACATGAATGTGAAACTTACTAAGTTTTTAACATCTCTGATATCACATGGATTTGATATTAATTTTTACTTTTAAATCCATGTGGTACAACATGTATATGACATAGTATGGATTCTGAAAATTTAAATACATCTTAGAATGTCTATTTCAGAATCATAAATGATTTTGTTGATTATTAGTTGTTTTGATTTAAAATGGAAAGCTTCTAAAATGGTATTTTTTTTAAGTTTTTCTCATTGAGTTTTATTGTTTTATGCATAAATACTTGTTTTATATTATTGTAATTTTTATGTTTCTATATCATGTCATATACCATATGTCATTTTGGTTGGAATTAGGAGAAAGAGTTTTGACATTACATTGAATATAAGATTTTATAACAGAGATGCAATAGTTTATTGGGCAAATGAATTTGTAAAAACATAGGTCTTATATAGAAAATTTTATTTTAATATTTTTAAAACTTGTAAACTAGTAGTAACCAATAAAAATTAGTTAATTTATGAGTTTTAAACTTGTTATAATAGATAATGAATTGTACTCTTTGTGGGTTTTATGTATCTAAAATTTATTCAAAGTCAACTGGCAAGGTCTGCCTGCTCAGTTTTAAATTACATTTTTTCATTCAGTCTATGATTTGCCATACATCCAAGAAACTGTTCCAAATTCCCAATGATTTGTTTGAGTACATTCAACCATTGCTAGTCATTATCATTATCAAAAACATTAATTTTATCAGCTATAATAATGAAGGGTCTTCATTAATTTCATCTTTGCATTGTTTAGAAACAATTTTCATTTTAAATGTACAAATATCAAATGCAAGTGATGCCAATTATAGTCTACCAAAACATCAAAGAAAAGAATTCTTAATCTAGAACAGAATTTTCCTCAAAGGGATATTTCTAAGTATTTTTAATATTATTATTAAGGATTTTTTTTTATTTCATTTAGAGTTTTTGATAATATAAATGTATCATAATTATATTAAGCATATATCATAGGTTTTTGAAAATTGTTAAACATTTTGTTTTCTAAATGAACTGTATAAAATAAAATAGGACTGAAAGTTGCCCCTATAACTATGTTGTCAATCTGTGTGTAGATGTTACTGTGATGATCATAGAAAGGTACCTGTGTAATACAGGATAAAAGAAGTTTGCATAGAATTGTTGTTATGAAGTTGGAGTGAAGAATGTTTATATACATTTTGTATTAGGCTATCTATAGTTTCTTTAATGGAAACAATACTTTTGATATCTTATAAATCAGGTATGCCATTATTAGGTTTATGTAAGTGCAATATTTGAAGAAATTCATTATTAGAATTAAAACTATATTTAGTAAATATGGTAGGATCATTTGGTTCATAGTTTTTGATATCCAACAGTAGGCATTTGTGAAATTATGAAATATAAAAAGAATCATGTTTATATGTTTTTACATTCCAATCCAGGTAATAATCACCAAAACTTTTTTGGAATTTAATGAATTAAGTTTCACAGTTATGAGCTGTAATAAGTTTGTTAAACTGTTTCTTCTGGGATTGCCATCAGCATGCTCACTGCATTCTTCTTAATCTCATCTATGATGTTCCAATGATGGTTTTAGTTCTGGAAAAAGCCAGAAAATAAAGAGAGCTAAATCGAGACTGCAGGGAGTCTGACAGGCCTGAGTGATGCAATGTTTTATGGATAGAGACAATTAAAGAGAGAAAACAATGAAAGAAGTCAATAATGAGGAAGAGGGACAACTGTTGATGGAGACAGTGATGGAGGTGGGCCAGTGTAAATAAGAGAGTAAAAAAAAAAAAAGGTATAGAGAGACGAGGAGAGAAAGGTAACAATGAGGGAGAATGAACAATACAGCAAAGAACAATGAAGGACAAGAAAGAAAGATGGATGGTGACAATCCCTATGGAACATGGAAAAACTCTCTTGTTATTTATTAACAGCAAAACTCTGCAAAACCAATTGTACAGCCTTTTTACCAATGAGTCATTGAGTCAAGAATCAATTGTCTTCTAAAGGACAAAGCATAAATATGAACTTCTGCATAAATGAATAAAAGCTTTTATTAATTATAGAGGTTTGGGGATTTTAAATGCACATGTATTTTCTAGAAGTAATATCGTAGGTAAGTCATATGTACTCAACTTTTTGTAGTGCATGATATGGACCTTATTCTTTGGCAATGGTGAGACAAATGTTTTCTTTTGTTTTATATTGTTCCTTAATTTAAAACATTTGAGAGCATAATATACTATTAAAACAAAAATATAGAAAATTTGATTGAGAACTGTGTTATTTGCAGGTGCTACAGAAAAGGAACATTGCATTGAATATAAGAGTTCGAAGTGTGATCACAATACTATTTCAATATAAAAAGATCTTTTTGCCAAAATTTTTAGCCATTCTAATTAAATTCAAATTTCTTCTAATATTATTTGATGAATTATATAGTTGATTGATAATTCTACACATGATATTTCAACTAAAATAAAAACTGAGTGGAAGAAAAACTGATTGAGGTCATAAGATAAAAATCTAAAATGATTTAAAAATTAATTTGCTTCAATTTTGCAGCTTCTAGATGGTAAATCTTTTGACCTATCTCAATTTCCATATGGAAAAGGTAATTTTAACACTCAAACTGAATATTAAGATTTCATTAAACATTATAACTATGAAATATGTTTATATACATATCAATATCTATATTCAATGAGATGCTGAAAAGTTCTTGACACAATTGAGAAACCTTTTGAAAAAATTCTGATGTTTAGTCAAACTTTTGGAAAGTGGGTTCGGCTAAGAACTAATCAGCACCTCCTCCTCTCCATATACAGCAAGATTTTCAAGGCATTTACATTCTTCCTATTTGAAGGATTGGTACAACACATTTTTTTTTATTTCTCCTCATTAGATGTTGTGTCATACTAACATAAGTTTATATCTCCATATATGTATATAGTGTTGATATATATCTTCAGCTTTTTATTTTCTAGCTGAATATGTTTTTTATATGTCTACAATATTCAGCAATGTGTTTGTGTCCAACGTTGAGCCATGAAACTTTGCAAATTCAAAATTGTACTTGCTCTGATTCACAAGTGTTTTCATTGTGGGGATGGAAGTGCAGCCTTTAAGTCAGCTGCTAGTAATAATTTGAACACTAAAATTAGATCACATCATTTTCTTGGTAAGTGGTGGGATTCAAATAATTTTCATGAGGGGTGGGGATTGATCCTCATCTTGCTCTGACTTTTCATGTACTGGATTAGTGATACTTGATTATCTTGCATTAAATTGTTACATTACAAACTGTTTGAAGTAGTATCTCACCTTCATTGTTTTGATCGCAACACTTCAGTCTGTCCCTCAGTTCTCCAGCATTCCACAGTTGGAATATATTTTTAACTTTATATTGCTATGAAAATAGATGTGATATTCATTTTTACTTTTAAACTTTGTGGTCATTTTTTATTTTTTCTATCAACACATTTTTGCTGATTAATTGAAAAGAATTCATTTGGTTAAGTCATTGAGGTAGACATTCAAAGAAAAGAAAATGCTTGAAGATAAACATGTGACAGATACCTGAGGAGGGTTGCAGAACTATTAGCCAAAATATGACAATCAAAACATTAAACAACTTGTCTGAATGATTTATTAAATAATGAAAACACTTCAGAAAAGTTACTTATTTTATTCCTCTACTCTATATGGAATATTTATACCTGATGTGAAACAGGAAACTATATTTTATTCAAAACAGTTCCAGAAGTTGTTTTTGGATAACTTGTTTGTTATTTAACTTGAAACAGACTGAATACAAAAAGTAAAATCCTATTATTGCTTTACATGAA